TCATGGATGTATATTCAGGTTTTATTTATTTATTGATTTATTTGGTACTGCAAATCTTGTAAATTGGAAGAAATCTTTTAGTGTGGCAGCATCCACACTTTGGAACACCCTCCCTGTTGACGTCAAGTGGGGTATTTTACTCTTTGCTGTGCCTGCTTAAAACATTTTTTGTATAGGCAAACTTGTCGACATGTAGATGTAGATGTGTTTTGATCTTTCTTAAATTTTAATTATTTAACATGTTTTTAATTGTTTTGATCAGCTTTTATTGATGATTTTAATATTTCCTGTAAACTGTTTAGAGATTTTACCACACTCAAGCAGCATATAAATGTTGTTAAATAAACAGATAAAATTTCATGCTACCTCCCACTTGTTTTTCTGTCACCCCGTTTTGCTTATATTATCCTGCCAGCATTCACAAGCTGAGTATGCTGGAGTAATAATACTGATAATTGCAGCGTCTCTTTTCATTTAAGACAAAATGAAGCAGGTGGTATAGTCCTCAATAGCGTTTCACTGATACATGAAATTTTCAAGTTTCTTTTTAAAAAAAATCAAAGTCAATGGGTTACGCTGGATATTCCAAAGTTGGCAAAATGTGAGCAGATGCTTTTTATTTATTTATTTAAAATATTTATGAATCCCCCTCCCTCCAAAGAAGCTCAGGGCGATATACAATAACACAAAAATTATGATCTCTCCCTCTTTCTGCATCCACTCACACCCCAAAATCAATTTAAAACACAGAAAGAGATGATAAGAACAAGAGATGAATGATGAGAACAAAGCTAAATGTGGTAAAGTAGAGCCTATATTCTATGAAACTATTTTTTTTCTGGTTAAAGCTATAGTAACATTTTTGATAACATCAAATAATTGACACATCATTTTTAAAAAACATCTTTTTTAAAAAAATTTTAAAATCAAAATTTCTTATTTTCAGACCTCTATTGGCTTTTCAACTGCTGGCAATAACTGAATCCTTTGATTTTCATATAACTTCCCCCCACCATAGCAAAACTGGCATTTTCAGATTTTAAACAATCCTTGATGCCACCAATTTAACAAAAAGATTTAAAGTGTGAAGTTCTACTTTTATTTTTAGCCTTGCAACTAAAGTGGTGAGCAGCAGGGATTCTTAAACGGGTAGCAATAGTTCAACTTTTGCCAACCTGGTGCCCTGCAGATGTTTAAGCCTTAAACTTCTATCAACCCCAGCAAGCATGACTTTTTTTTAGTCCCAAAACATCTGGAGGGCACCAGTTTGGCAAAGGCTACTGTCGTTTATCGTTCCCTAGTTTCTGTTAATACAAAGTGATGGGCACTGCTCATATTTCATTCTTGGGAGGAATTTTTGGTACTGACAGAACTTGAGCAACGGTGATAGTTTGTTTTCATTCAGCATGCTCTCTTTTCTCTTAAATTCTCCTCTCTCTCTCTCTCTCTCTCTCTCTGCATCCCAATTTTCACAGTCACAGAAATTTGACGCTGTGCTGTTAAATTGTTGATTAGTTCCTTTGTTAGTGTGTCTGATAAAACAAATGTGCGTGTCACCCAGTTTTAATCAGCTTCATTTCTTCCTAGTGAGACTTCAGGTTGGGTTTGTGTGTTGTCGTCTCTCCTCCCCCCCCCCCCCCGCCTGCACTTTCTAATTGAAAACAGGGGTCTCTAGACAGTCGCCCTGGGACTTCTGTGCAAAGAGCTTTCTCAGTAGGCTGGCATCTCCCTGCAGATTGCATATCCACAGCCACAACCCCTCCCTTCCTGGTGCCATACAGGCCTCCGCCCCCTGCAGTCCCTCAGGGAAATGTCTCCACTGGTACTGGTTCCACCCCGCCTCATCCCACATTCCCATATCCTTCAGGCTACTGGAGAATCCTAATAAATATCTGCCACCCTTTCCTTTCTCCCCTGGCGAGACTCTTGCGCCTTTTTACGCTTGCACGGCGGGCAAATTCAGCCGTAAATATAAACTCTCGCCTGAGTCTTTCCCGCTGCTTTGCTCCGGTGCCAGGAAAAGCCGCAGCGGTTAAACTTCTTATCTGCCGTGCAGCTGCTGAAGGAACCAGGCCACAAGAAAAGCGGTGGGTTTAATTTAGTCTAGAGCGAGGGAAGAAATAAAAGAGAACAAGGTTCTCTCTCTGCGGGTGCACCTTTTAACAGCTACTGTGGCCTATTTATGCCCTTCTCCTGTTATTAAGCAGATTAGGGTTGTTGTCGCACCACCCCGCATATAAGCTTTCTGATAAAATGCCATATGTTGCTATGCGGCTGACTACTGGAGGAGGAGGACCACACAGTTCAGCATAGGAACATGGACTCACCCAGACATGGCTATATATGTAATTGCCAAATTTTCCCCAAGCCTCACACTCCACACTCTTTTCCTTGGACCAAACTTCCTCATATTATCACAGACCCTCCAAGTGTCCCTATTTTCCAGGGACAGTCCTGGATTTACGGAAGTTGTCCTGGTTTTTGATTGGTTCCTAGCATGTTCCTGATTTCTTTGGGACATCCTTATTTTCATCGGAGAAATGTTGTAGGGTGTCCTCTAGGAGACTCTGTGAATAGAAGTAATGTTTTATTATGTTTTAATATATGTTGGAAGTCACCCAAAGTGGCTGGGGCAACCCAGTCAGATGGTTGGGGTATAAATAAAAAAATTGTTGTTGTTGTTGTTATGGAATAGGACATCACTGTTTTCATCGGAGACATGTTGGAGGGCATGCTATCACCTCCACCTCCCCAGTTCATCTCTCTCTCTCTCTCTCTCTCTCTCTCTCTCTCTCTCTCTCTCTCTCTCGTTCCACCTCTCAACCTTCCTGCTCTCTAGTTGCTCAGTCTGTCAGTTTTCTTGGCAGTGGAAAGCATGGTGTGTGTGTGTGTGTGTGTGTGTGTGTGGTGCAGGGGGAGGTACGTATGTCCAGTCCAGTGTTGCTTAGCAACCAGGATATGCCCCCACACCCTGCCCCGTTCTCTTAAGCTTCATTGGTGTGGAAGGCAAAGGGAGGGTGAGGCAGTCAAGTAGATGAGAAGCGCTGAGCAGTGGTGGAGATGCCTGCTGGCTAGGATCTTTATAGCCTCCCATGGGGCTTGTAACCGCAGGATCTTGTGTCCCTTTTGGGCAGTGAATCAGAGCAGCTCAGCCCTCCTCAAAGCTGCATTCTGTCGTTCTTTTATTCCCTTTCTGTGCAGCTATTTTCCTCTCTCCCATGTTGTGCTTTATTTACTTTTTAATTATCAGAATGCTGTACAATTCATTTTCGGAGGGTGGGAGAAGAATGCTGTACAGCCCCTCTCCCTATCTAGTCCTTTAACAATTAGGCCAAAACCTCACCACAGCGCTTAACAAGGATACTAGTTCCGGTTTGAAACTGGCAAGGATGGTAAACATCCTGACTGTAACTAATAAATTGTACAAATCATCTTGTTCTCACCACACATCAATCAAAACACAACTGCCCTAAGCAGGGATGAGTTTTCCATAGTCTCAGAAAAACAGACTTTGATGTGGAGATACACCCAGACCAATGCTAACTGTGTTCATTCAGAGGGAATTCCCATTGCGTTCACAATCCATGGATCAATCCATGTTTAGGATCTCAGCTAATAACTCTAGGAGAATAACTCTCTGAGACAGCCATTAGTGCAAATTACATGCTGTTTTGCTTGCCGTTTGATGCCCATTTCAGTGCGCATGAGAGCGCATTAGCAAGTATACTTGCTTCCTGTTAAACTACATAATTGCCTGTCAGGTGAAAGTTGTTACAAGAATAAGGCATAATAGTGAATCAGACATGCTGCTTTAAACTCAATTATTTTTTTCATTTTAAAATTAGGACAACCTGCCTACCTCCAACTTGCATGCTTTTGAGAAACATGTGTGTTTCTCATGCTGGCTCTTGTCACAGCACGGCCTACTGTTTCTGCAACTGCAGTGTCGACCCCCAGAGTTTCTGTTAACATTGCAGAGGTTTTTAGGTGCATTCTCAGTTCATGTTGGAACTGAAAATCCAGTCATGTTTGAAACTATGGGCCTCTCCAGATGTCTTTTTTCTTGTGCATTCATGGTTATTTGTGCTCATGATGGTATTGGGGCTTTTGTACATGATCTTGCTTTGGTTCCCACTCCCACCTGCCAAAAGTTTGGGGCAGACATACTGCTTTGTCAGTCCAATCAGTGCATGTGGCTTAGTTGCCTGTTGAAATCCAGTAACTGTTTATACCACGAATATTGCTGGCGTTTTTTTGGTCCTGCTTCTGTTGCCCTATAGCACAAGAGTCCCTGTCCAAATGGCAATAATGTGGTAATATTGGAGACACACCACCAAACAACTAACAGAACAGAATGATGCGTGGACAGCCCAGTGTAAATCCACAACTAACACGCTATTATTGTCTCAGTGTCATGTTGCAGAGTGTACAGTGGTGCCTCGCAAGACGAAATTAATCCGTTCCGCGAGTCTCTTCGTCTTGCGGTTTTTTCGTCTTGCGAAGCACGGCTATTAGCGGCTTAACGGCTTAGCGGCTATTAACGGCTTAGCGGCTTAGTGGCTTTAAGAAAAAGGAAACAAACTCGCAAGAACTCGCAAGACGTTTTGTCTTGTGAAGCAAGCCCATAGGGAAATTCGTCTTGCGGAACGACTCAAAAAACGGAAAACCCTTTCGTCTAGCGAGTTTTTTGTCTTGCGAGGCATTCGTCTTGCGGGGCACCACTGTACCCACAAAAAGCCACCAATCCGCTCCCTTCTTAAAAGTTAGGGCCTCACTAGCTTCCTCCCTTTGTGAATAATAGGCCTGTGAGGGGTGGGAAGGTGTGGAGAACTTCAATTAATTGTGTGCTTTCAATGCTTTCCAATAATTTCATTATCCTGTAATTGCACGGATCTTTGCCTAACATGTTTATATGCCCCTTCCCCTCTTTGCTTTGTTTTGATCCCGGGGAAGGTGGATGTCCACTGCTTCATCCTCTGCTTCTTCTTCCTCCTCTGCAGACTTGGGGACCAGTTCTACAAAGAAGCCATTGAACACTGCCGCAGCTACAATTCCCGGCTATGTGCTGAACGCAGCGTCCGTCTTCCTTTCCTGGACTCGCAGACAGGGGTAGCTCAGAATAACTGTTACATCTGGATGGAAAAGAGGCACCGGGGACCAGGTACACATTGTTTATCAGTGGCATGGAGGACGCACAGAGTTCTGCTACCAGGAACTTTGAGAAGCCACACGCAGGAGGGCCTGCCTGAAAGGATACGCTTGGAAGGGATTCCTTTTGTTAACTGCAGAAGATGAGTAAACCCACTGGAGACTGGTGCTTATTGGGACTGGTGGGGCGGAAGGCAGGGAGCCCAACAGCTGGTGAAGCCACAGCCAATGACAGGCAGAGCCAGCTAATGCCTATTTGGTCTCCATTCTCCTCCCTGTTGGGTTCTACAAATGCAAAGTTGAGACTAAGGAGGAGGAGGATGACAGGCAGGTCTACCTCCTGGACTATCTGTAAGTAAGAAGTCTGGGAGGCAGGAGGGGGCTGGCTGAGGTTGGTGGGGCACTGTCCCATTTCCCTTACTAGACCAGCCTCCACTGAGGAAGCCCTAACTATTCCTTCGCCCCCATTCACTGCCACTAGAGAGGATTGCTTGACATGTTGTTTCCTTCGGATGCAGCATCATCTCAGCCCCTTCATTTCTATTGATCTTCATTGCATAAGTGCAATGGAAAGTGAATGGGAAATGGTTTTAAGTAAGAGTTGCGAGGGAAAGGCATCCGTACGTTGTTACTGATACACTTGAGAATAATGAACCTTATTTCTCAGAAGGTAAAATGCATTAGTGGCGTGCTTGCAATTTTAAAGTGACTTTACCATTGCCCGTTTCAGAAAGCGATAGGGAGTGCCTTGTTCCCTCCTTGCACATACCATAAAAGTTTAACATGTTAATAGTAATGCAAGGAGCAAACTATACCTTACATACAATTTTAGATACACTGCACCATTTTAAAAATTGAAACCAGCTGTTTCGGAGTGGGAGGAAGTTGCGTACTGCACTTGCGCAGCCTTGCAGAACTCAGCCTGCTATTGGCTCTGGTGCCACTTACTGCTGACGGCCCAGTCCTCAACCAGTAGTTCCAGTGGGCACAAGCCACTGCTGCAGGTTCAGAAAAAGTATGGGATAGAGTCCTGGGGGAACACACTCCATATCAAAGAAAGCTAAGGTGCCAAAGAGTAGGGCTGCAACCCAGCTTTCTTTCTACTATACAAATTTTACTAAATAAAATTAATAAAATTAAATAAAATTTACTACTATCATAATTTTACTAAACAGCCTCTGGCTACTTGCACTCTGAAGGGGTGCAGTCCCAGGGACCTGAATGCACAGATTGGCTCTGGGTATTGTTTTCTTCAAGTGTTACGCACTGTACTTCTGAATAGCACTGTGTCCAGTGAACAATTCTTTCCCATTCATTCTCCTCTTTAGCATATGCACTTGAAATATATTCATTATATGACAGGGAGGGGGAACCATTCCTTTGTTGCATCACCTTACTTTCGTACAGTTTTCTTAATAAATGCTGTATCTCATGGCAAACAGTTGAGGGTTAATTTCACACAGTACTGCATATAACTCCTTTCCTCTCTTCCCCCCTCCCCCCCGGCAACCTTTCACTTTAGCTCTGAGTTATGACTCTTCTACAACTAATGAGATAAACAACATAACTCATTGCGGGTCCCGCTATTTCCTTTATAATCAAATGGTTAGAACCTTCTGTGGTTGCCCTATAAGGCACTGAATTGTTGAGGCACTCTGGAGAACAAAGAAGATAAAAAACAGCAACCATGCATGTATTCTCACGTATGTGGTGCCCATGTCAAAAACTGGGGAGATCCTTGCAACAGTAAGAAATGACTGTCTTCCTGGACTTGCCTTCTAAACTTCTGTTTGCAGAAGAATTTAAAAAAGAACGCCATACTTCTTTTGGGAAATTATATTGCAGTGGCTAGGCTCAACACATCCCTTTCCTGTTCCAAATTCAGTAGACTCTGCTTTTGAAGATAGCACGAGGTTACTTCAGATTAGCAAGATTGTGTAGTAGGACTGCTTGTTAGCATACAGTCTCGTCAATTAGGAAAGGGAAAAGCAGATTTTTATGTAGGGCATTTCCCATCCCTGTTGTGCCTCTTTCTACTGTAGCTGCTAGGGGTTATCTGCCCAATCAGGCTTTTTGAGTTTGAAAGCTTTATGCCTGGTATGAAACAGGGACAGGCGATTGAGGGTTGTTTCTCTCTCCCCCCCCTTCCCCCCTTCCATTTTTTCCTCAGGATGTTAAGTATAAGGTGTTCAGCTACAGAAACAAAACAAAAAAAGCCCACCCCACAATGCTTCATTGCAGCCATGTCTATTTACATTAACTGGAACAATTGCTGCTTGCCCCAAGTGGGCTGGTAAGTATCCTGGCACCCTACTTTAACATGTGCTGCATCTGCGTTTCCCCCTCACCCCCCATTGCCATTATTCTCCTCCTCTAGATCAATGCTTTTAAGCTGCCAGTTGCTGCTGCTGCTGCTGTTCTGACCAGGGAACTTTTGCCTCCCCAACCTTAAAAAGACAGCCACTCTCAGTTTGAGTGACCTAATTCTTCGTTGATGGATAATGTTGTAGAAGAATGTAACTCTCCGTGGTGCAAAGCTATATAAATGGCACTTTCAAAGTGAGAAGGAGATTGCCAAATGCCCCTTATTTTAAAGACAGGCGGTTCTTTTCACAAGGGATGTTGTCTTTTGTTCCAGAGTGATATCCTTATAGCACTTAGTATGGGCCCCTTATTTTCGGGTTTAGATGCAATACAACACTGAAGAGAACTGAAACTGCGTCTCTGCAGTGACAGGTATTTCTGAACTTTTGATCTCACAACCCTGTAGAAGAGAAAGAGGTGGAGGGAGAAACTTTGCAATGCCTTTTTGCCCATTTCATTCCACTTCATGTGTCACTTTGAGGCTAATCAAGTGGGAAAGCTCATAGTGAATGAATCAGCTGTTGGTTTCCACATCGCCTGAAACATATAAGCTTCCTCTAAAGAGTGCCTGGTGTTCCTTCAGTCACAGGTGGCACTCCAGAGGCCAGTCCTAAACAAATGTTTCCCTAGAGCTGACTTCTCCAGCCAAGTGCCCTATGGGTGTTTTGTTGTGGCAAATGGGGTAGGACAGGAGCAGTGGCCAGCACCCCACCAGATGTGTTGTAACCAGCATGCTAGCTGGGACTCATGGGAGTTGTAGTCCAAAACCTCTGGAGGGTAACCAGCCTGGGGAAGGCTGCTCTCAAGCAAGTGGTGGCTATGAGTATGAGCTTCCATTCATCTCTGGAATTAGCCACTGTTGCCACTATCAACATTTTCTTGGTATTTAATAAAACAAGTAGGTTCATATGGAACAAAAGCAGGGTAAATTAACTTATATGTTAAAAGTAGCTGCCTTGACATTACTTGTGACCCTGTAGTTGTCAGACTGAATAAAAGGACTGGATTCCTCTGTCTTAATTATTCTGCAGGAGGAAGGTATGTAGGGAATGTCATTTCCCCATATCTATCACAGTAGTATGAAGAGTTCCACTTTCTGAAGATGTCATTAAGGGTACAGTGGTGCCCTTGGTTCCCGAACGGCTTGGCTCCCGAACAAATCGGCTCCTGAACATCACAAACCTGTTTGCGAACTTTTTTTGGAAGCCGAATGTCCAACATGGCTTCCGTTGGAAGCTCCTGCAGCCAATCGGCAGCCATGGCTTGGTTTTTGAATGGTTTCAGGAGTCGAACGGACTCTGGGAATGAATTAAGTTCGAGAACCAAGGTACCACTGTATACCTACACAAAAATATTTTTGCAGAATCTGTTATAAACATGCATACAGTGTTACCTTCGGTTTAAGAACAGTCCTGTTTAAGAAGGATTCAGTTTGCAAACTCTGCAAACCGAAATAGTGTCCCAGGTTGAGACTTGATCTCGGTCTAAGAGCGGAATCCGAATGGTGGAAGGGCACCGGCGGCGGGAGGCCTCATTAAGGGAAAGCGCACCTCGGTTTAAGAACGGTTTCAGTTTTAAGAAGGGACTTCCGGAAACGGATTAAGTTCAATAAACCGAGGCAACTACTGTACTGTGAAAAGTTGATGGATCTTGACTTGGTGCTGTGTGCTGGATCATGTTCCTCTTTGTCCCTGTTAACATCTCACCTTTTCTATATATTCAGAGGTACTGCGACCGTGTTTTCAATGAGATGGTAAGCATGTTTCTGGCCTGTACCACTTCAGGCTGCAAGTGCTGGCTTACGTGGCGAATACTCTTCAAACACACAAATAAAAACCACTGCCCATTGAAAACTAGATGTCAAAGATGAGCCTTGGCTACATGCTAGTTTTCTAAGTTATATATAAAAAATATATATTTAAAAATTGTCTGGGGAGCTCTTAGTAATGTGGTCCCCTAGTTGCAGTGTAAAGTGGTGCAGGTCTTAATTTATCAGCCAGTGGTAAAACTTGGTGTGACACTGCATTGTAGCTGCTATTTGCCCTACTGGGTAAATGCATAGATATCACATGGATTCTGGTAAGTGTCTACCCCCACTCTACAAATACCCAAAGAGGGAGGGTGAATTTACTTGGAAGGAAGCACAGTGGGGAAGTTTTGCTGCTATTGATAAGAACTTCTGGATCACCTTTGGTTGGTTCTGAAAAAAGGCTTGAGTTTCCTCCAAAATCTCACATGCATGTCTGGACCACTACTGCTCTCCCAGTCAAGCACAGCATCATCTAATGGTGCATCTAGGTGGCAAGTGCATTCTGCCCATGCTCCTTCTTTGCCACAGCGGGTTGTTGAGTCATTCAGCTATGAATTCATAGAAACTCCCCAGGGGAATGGTAGGGATTTCTCTCTCGCCCGCAAACACCTCTGAACTCAATTTAAGAATATAGTTGTGATGAAGAAACAACATTTGTAATCCCTGCAATTAAAGTAGTCTGGAAGAGCCCTAGGACGTAATTGCAGATTAAAATAGCATAGCATTCTTGAGCTCTCTTTTCATACAATTCTTAGATGATATAAAGTGGGATTCCTGTCTCAGCCCTCAACAGACTTTCTGTTCATGCTTATGGGCTTAAGTGAATATTCTCAAAGCTG